GGGTAGCATAATTCTACCCTAACCCGACCCGAAACCCAATCATCTCGGGTTTACCCGACCCAAAAATGCGGGTAACCCGCGGGTAACCCGACCCTATGGGTTTTATTTACATCCCTATAAGTGATAAACAACAAATTCAATAAACTCGAAATAACGTGTCAGGGAAAGTTTCACTTTTGGTACCCCAATTATTCCTACTTTTCAGTTTTGATACCTCTGGTTTCAACTTAATCAGTTGTAGTATTTACGTATCTAAAATGCATCAGTTTTGCCCAAATCGTCAGTTGACCGTGAGTCAACTGCCGGTCACCTTCTCTAGCAGGTCGTCTTCTTCTGCAAGTGATAAAAAATGGCGGGCATCTCCATTAAAGCACCACAAAGCCGCCGAAAGTGAGGGAAAAAAAAAGAATTTGAAGATGAGCAGTTCAAGAGGAAGCTGGAACTCTCGCTGGATCTCCGAGATTAATGGTGCTCCAATGGAGATGACCTGCAATTGTGGAGATAAAGTATACTTGAAGACCTCTTGGACTCGAAATAATCCGGGAAGAAGATATTGGGCATGCCCTAAATATGGGGTAATTAATTATTTTGTTTTTGTTTTAATTTGCGCCTAATGTAAATTAACAAGAATTTGTAAAAAAAAAAAAAAAAAATTGTAGAACTTTGGTTTTTGCGGAGTTTTTATATGGTTTGATCCGAAAATTTGCGAAAGAGCAAAGAATATTTTACCCGGTTTGCTGGATAAATCAAATAAACATCAACATCAGATTGAGCAGTACAAGTTCAAGATTGTTGAAATGGAAGCTCAGTACATGTTGAACATTGCTGAAATAGAAGCTCAGTTGTTGGTGGCAATGAACAAGGTGGATGACATAAACAATGCATTGGTTGTGTGCAAGAATAAGATAAAAAAATTATGGGTTGGTATAATTGTTCTCTCATTGTTGTATTTTGTCTAATTCTGTTTTAACTAGATTTTAGATAGCTATAGTTGGTGTAATTTAAAGTATTATGTAATGGTAATGGTCAGCAGTTTGTAGCACAAACATTCTGTCAAATTATGTCAAATTCTATCAAATTATGTAATGGTTCTAGTATGAAAATGTTGGTGTAATTTTCTCATTTGGTTCTGAGGGCAAAACCTGTTTATATGTGTTTCAAATTACATAACACAACATCCACAAGAACATCAAAAAAACCATAAACCCCAACAAAAGAAACTAAAACATTAACACAATAACCAAAAGAACCTAAACCATAAACACAATAGCCACAAAGAACCTAAACCATAAATACAGTATGAAGAAATGATCCATAAACAGAACAACAATTATACCAATAAAATCAAAAACATAATAGACACAAAGAACCATTCCCACTGCATCTCAAACAACCCAACATCAACATCCAAACAAAGCTTCAGTTCACAACATCACTAGAAAGCATGACTACAAAAGAGAAGAAATTTTGTCTTCAATACATAACACCTCACATAAGAGAAGGAATTCTGTCTTCAATACATAACACATCACACAAAATTTCTACTTTCTCTCACAATGGATTTCTGTCCATAACACATCATACAACAAATCAATACTTAAACATTGACTTCAGCATATCCTCAAATGGATTTTTGTCCCCCATCTTGCCTTGAAGTCCCTTGAGCAGCTGCAGCTCTTAAATTTGAAAGAGTAATGTAGTTTACACCTCCCTTTACAATGACTTGTCCAGTTCCAGAAGATGATTGCATCACCTACACAAGAAAATTTGATTTATCAAGCTCATTCATAATTTGAGAATAAATAACAACATGTACAAACGATAAAAAAAATCTTACATTAATTGAAGATACTCTATTTGTGCCTCCACTTAAGTTTACACCACCAACTGTGGCAGTCTCTTTCCTCCTCTTAACATGTTTTGTGCAAAACAATTGCATCTTATCAAAATCATAATAACAGTTGCATGTAATTGACAATTGCATGTAACTGAAGAGTGAGATTTAATAATAAAAGTTACATTTAATCAAATCATACTTACATGTAGCTTTGATCTGTTCTGAATACTTGAAGGCTGAGATTGAGACTGAAGCTTAGACTGAGATTGAGACTGAGACTTAGATTGTGTCTGAGACTTAGATTGTGACTGAGATTGAGTGCCACCCATGCTTGTTGCCACAGGAGTTCTACTCTCATATTGTTGATTCTTTCAAGTTCTAGAGTTGTGGCCTATTTTACCACACTTACCACACTTCACAGAATTTTGAACTTTTTTAAGCCTGCTTTCAGAGGATGGAGCAGGAGGCTCATCAGGTTGTCTCCTCCTCAATTTTTTGGGCCTACCAGGCCTATTTTCATATATTGGTGGCAAAGGAGCTGGTAAATCACATTTAGGCCACAATTCAGAACATGAAATCCCCATGATGGCATTTTCATATGCACTTCTGTATGTGTTTTGTCTATACAAGTCATCCACATAGCACTCAGGATCTTCATGTCTACACCAAATGGCAGCACATGCATGCTTACAAGGGATTCCTGTCAAATCCCATTTTCTACAGCTACAACTCAGTCCAGCAACATCAACTGTGTGTTGATCATAAGGGCTTATGATTTCAAAGTGCGAATCATCACTTTTCATTAGAATACACTCTGCACCATCTTTCATGTTCTTTTGAAGTATCTTTTAAATTCTAGGGCAGATCCTCCCAGACCAGTTTTTAGCTGCATCTCTGTTCACTTGTAGTCTAGCCATCAACAAGTGCCTTATTGTCTCAAGCATCACAATGACTGGCTTTTCCCTTGTATTCAAGATGAAAGAATTGAAACATTCACACATATTGTTCAGTAAAATGTCACACTTGAGTGAAGTTTTGAAGTGAGACCGAGACCATTGATGAGGAGGTTTTTTTACCAGTCACTCATAAGCCTTTGGATCCAGCTCTTTCAATTCATCCATCTTTGCACTAAAAACTTCCACCCTGGTTGCTCTAGCTGCAGCCCACAAAGCATTTTGTATTGACTGACCAACAAACCCATCTCTTTTCATGTTGCTGTGTAAATGTCTAACACAAAATCTGTTTTCAGCATTAGGGAACAAATCTTCAAAGGAAGGGATAAGCCCTTTCTGTTTATCACTCATAAAAGTCCATTCAAGTTCATCATCAATCCCTAAATCATTCTATAACAACCTCAAAAACCACATCCAAGAATCTTTATTCTCATTTTCAACTATTGCATAAGCAACAGGAAAAATCTGGTTATTTGGGTGAATTCCCACTGCTGTTAAGAGCTGACCACCTTGGGGGCCTTTCAAGAAGCACCCATCAACACCAATGATTTTTCTGCAGTGCCTAAAACCCTTCTTGCAGGCATCAAAACAAATATACAGTCTCTGGAACACAGGTTGTCTTGATTGTTCTTCACAATTCAGTTTTAAGACAATAGTTGAACCATCATTGGACCTTAACAACTCTAAGCAATAGCTTCTGATTGAACTAAATTGTTCTTTTAATGTTCCATCTAGAAGCATCATTGCTTTCTTCTTGGCCCTGTAGGCTTGTTGCCTATAAATATTGGACTTCAGCTTGGTACACAACATACCCCTAAACTCATTGACTCCTAACTTAGGGTACTTCTTAAACTTTTTCATGAAATTCTTCCCTACCAAGAACAACCTTTGTGGTTTTTCTCATAACACTTCACATGCCAAGATGAGTCATTTTGCATTGGTGAAACAAAAATATACCACCCACACCCCCTCTGTGGTACACCTAGCTCTCAATCTTCTTTTGTCATTCCTATCAAAACGAACCACCATCCCTCTTCTATAGCAAAAACCCTGAATAACATCCTTAGCCTCTGATTTTGTACTCAAAATCATCCCTAACTTCAACTCAGGGTTTTTATCAGTTTTAGGATTATATTTAGGGAATTTCACAACATTATCCTCCTGATCAGACCCTCTAACACTTTCAAATAAATCACTATCCCCTAACTCAAGATCATGCTCTTCCTCAAATATACCCTCAGACAAAAACTCATTTTCAATTGATTTACCATTATTTTATTCATTCACCCCAACAAATTCTGCATCTTTGTCAACATTTCTGCCAAACAAAATATCATCGTCATCCATATCGTAGTCACTATCATTGAACTCCTCACATTCTGAATCACTATCATCAACAG